AATTGTGTACCAGTTTAACTTTGAATATTATTTATGATTTTAACTTTATACACAAGTGCCAAAATACTATAATTACGTATTACTATAATTTGCATAGTGATTTATTGTAACTTGTAAGTGACTACGTTTTACTGAAGAGCTTGTTTATCGGGAAAGATTGGTTCATTTAGAAAGTAAACGATTATTATTATTTCGTCTGGACACTTGATACTAGTCGGATGTCTTGGAGACTAGTGCTTGGGCTTTTTCTTTTTCTTAGATATGTTAGTGATATAGATAGGGGTTAATTAATAATTTGGTAGTAAAGTTTGTTGATAACATTAAACTGTTGGGTATTTATAGCTGTGTTAAGAATGTTGATGTATTACAGAATGATTTGGATCAGTTGGTAAGATGAACAAATACTTGGCAAATGGCCTTTAATTATAATAACCGCACGGTAGTCTATTTGAACTATCATACTTTGGATCATAGGTTTAACATACATAGGAACTAGCTCTGTGACATGACTGAATAATAGGATCTTAGCATTGTGGTGGATAAGTCATACAAGCCACCGAGACAGTGCTCTATTGCTAGTAATGAATGTAATAGAATTTTAGGGTGTACGTAGAGACATGTTGATTGTAAATTAAAAGGGGTAGTTTCCCCGAAGGGGGCCGAAAGTCACCTGGAAAGATCACTATAAAATAGTGTGTTGTCTGTCAGTCAGTAAGTAGACACTAAAATGACGTTACATAAGGGACACTTATCGTTGCAATTTGTACTATCATGACGTCAGTAAAACTTGCGTATGTCATGAATTACGAGAAGAATTATGCACTCTGTAGACTACAACATAGCATAACATATGAACTTCAAAAGCACGAAATAAACATATTTTCTACTCTTCATTTTGGTTCTATTTACTCATGAAACAGAACACTGCGGAAATACATCTAGTTGTGTATATATATATGTTTCACTAATTTGAGATACTGTGTACAGTGTTGGTCTTCTTATCTAAAAACGAATATTGACTTATTGGAAAGGATTTAAAGGAGAACTATTTGAATGATTCTGGGGACTAATGGTACATTATAAGAATATGTTAAGATCTCTTAACTTAATTTTTCTTGTTGAAGTTTATAAGATTATTTGGGGCTCGATAAGATAAAGGCCTGTGAGTTCTTTGTAATATACTCTTAAGACAATAAAATTAGAGATTTCATGTTTAAGATTTTAAAATGACGAACTAGTTTCCGGTAAAGACAGTTTCATTTTTTAACAGGCTGAATTAGTTATGAATCATTTTTAGCACGTAACAGAAATTCAAGAGGAAATAGGTGATTTCGTAAAGAATAAATGGTTGGATTAAATGTTTACTTTCCTCAAGGGTGAGTTTGCAACGACAGTCTTGAATGTACAAAGAGCCTCTTGTTATCTGTGCATTGTGGTGGTGATTCAATGTAAATTATCACATTTTACTGAATAAATTAATTGTTGATCCGCTTCAAGTGACTGCATTTAACCGAATGTTTTGTTAGATGACTAGTTGTAGGTGACTATGTTTAACCGAATGGTTTGTTTAGTGACTAACTGTAAGTGACCATGTTTAAACGAAGGGTTTGTTTGGTGTTTTGCACTAAGTGACTACATTTTACTGAATTGTTTCGTTTGGTGCTTTGCTTTAAGTGATTATGTTTAACGGAAGAGTTTTTTTGATGACTGTATGAAAATGGTTACCTTTTACTGAAAGGTTTAGTTATTATTTTTGTTTTAGCGCAAACCTACACATTGAATTCTCTACGCACTGTCCGTTACTGGAATTGAACCCCGAAACATAACGTTTGTAAACCAGAAAGTTTATTATTAAGCCTGCCCCCTAGTGGATCAGCATTAAGTTTATGGATTTATAATGCTAAGATCTGGGATTCGATTAACCGCGGTTGACAGATGAGATAGCCCAACAAATAAACAAACTACTGAGCCATTCCCTTAATCTTCGCTTATAAATTAAGTAGCAGAGCACTCAAATATGCTGCTTTGTGAGCAAAAATAACCTGGACTTTAAACAATTAAATCACTCATACTAAATGCATCAATTAATAAAATCAGTTTGTTAAGTCGTTGTCAAATTTTAGTCCATGTTTCTTGAAATCTCATGCGTAAACTAACAAGCATATTCAAATCTATCAAATTTTTATGGAAAAATCAATTTACTGCTGAATGATAAAAATAATGAAACGCAATACAATTAAATAAAAGGTTTTCCTCGCAATACAATTAAATAAGAGGTTTTCCTGAACATGGAGCAGAAGAACGTTTCAACTTTTTTTTTCTCTTGGCTTATTTAAGTTTATACCTTCAGCTCTCGACAACCGAGACAACCCATGTAACGAGAACTACACCATATACTGTTATAACAAGAAGGTGTGTGTGTGTGTGCGTGTTTTTGAATACATTATTCTCAATTTGTCCATCGCAGGATAAAATCACAGGTGTGTAATAAACAGAACTTCAAATGTATCTTTTGTCGGCCGTAACTTTTATAGTATTACACTGCATATGTAAATAGCTTTCATAATTTTTTTTGTCTCTCATAATCCAGCCTAAATGATGAGTTCTGGTATTGAACAAAAAGGCAGTGATTGTTGGAGATAAAAGATAGATCTGAAATTATGTTTATTAGACACCTATGATTTCGATTGACAAATAAAGACAAATGTGTAAAAAAAAACATCAGCAGTTAACTCATTTTTATAACAATTTTAGTCCTAATGGTTTTTCCAATATTTCGCACATTTTCGACGTTTAAACCATACCTTATACTACAACATTTTCAACATTTTGTGTGTTTTGCTGAAAACTAAACATTTGAAGTTAAGCTAAAAATTGCCGAAATATCTTCTTTTTACAGGGAATACAAAAATGTCGACAATAATACAAGATTCTACAATTAAAACATTTAATCAAGAACATCTGAACACCAGTATCTTTCTGGTTCTTGTAACACGATATGCCAGCTGTTGTTTGAGTTATTGTTTGTAATGATCTGCTGTGAAACTTTCATTGAGTTGCTTTTATTACATTTTATGGCTGTATGGTGGTCTCTTGCGGCAGTGCTTCATTCTTGTCGTCTAAATATATCTCTTCCAAACATCTTTTCTTTTTACATATATGTGAATAAAAGTAAGAAACAAGATATAGCTACTGCAATAACTCCTCTAACACAAAATATAATTTTGAAACGATACCTTTTCCCGTCATATAAATTTTAAATGCATGTTTAAATGAAATCTTTAAGATTGCTCTAAAAATCCAGATATAATTTTTATATCATTTTTACTAACAAGTGGTAAACGTACTATTATCAATCAGAATAACATCTTATCAAACTAACACTGTTAAATGTAGTATTTTATACCAGAACGGCACCTTTTCATGACCTTAAAACATGGTAAACGCAGTAGTTTCAACCATAATGGTAACTTATGAATTTGGTTTGGTTTTGAATTTCACGAAAAGTTACACGAGGGTTATCTACACTAGCCGTCCATTTAAAAGTGATAGAATTCAGGGAAGGCAGCTAGTCAACACTGCCCACCGCCAACTCTTGGGCTACTCTTTTACCAACAAATAGTGGGATTGACCGTCACATTATAATGTCCCACGGCTGGAAGGACGAACATGTTTGGTGTGACGGGGATTCGAATCTGCTACCAGCAGATTGCGAGTCAAGTGCCCTAACCACCAGGC